GGAGGAAAGGAAGGTAAGATAGAGCACAGGGTAGGGAATAGACACAGGGGGGCAGGGGTGGAGAGACAATACACAAGAGCAGTAAGGGGAATGGAAGACTGGGAGAACAGTGGGGCAGAGGTAAATGTTGATGTATGCACAGCCTTGGAACAACAGGGCTCCGGGATACGGGGATTGAGGCACAGTTTGAAGGAGTAAAAGAGGGGAATAGTGCTAAGATGCTTGGCTATCTTTTGAATCTTGGTTTCCCTTGCCTACCATTGTAAAATAGACACTTGAGGTGGGGAGACAGGAATAGCCAGAATCATCACTATAGAAAGCTTGTAAGTCTGTCTTCAGCCTATAACTGATTGGAATACCTTAAAGGGGGCTAGAAGTTGCCCAGTGAAAGAGGCTTCCTGTGGAGCCTTTACATTATACAAGACCATAGGTAGAATCCAGAACCCCAGCCAGAACCAATTGAGGTAGGAAATTTCCACAAGTAGACCAGCTTGGAATGGCTAGAAGAACAGAAGATACTCCGTGAAAAACCGACAGGAAAAATCCGAAACAATAACGGCAGTCTGATTGATTACTACAATAACAAGTAAGCTGTTCACCTGGGAGCCATCAAGGCAAGTGGTTGGGAGCCCTCAGAGCAAACTGCCTTCCAAGACTAAGACTCAAGGAGAATACATGAGCAGGCATGTGGTCTGGCTGGTGACTGCGTTGATCACCGGTAAGGGGAAGAGGGGGAAATAACAGCATTGAAGTTGTGAGCTAAGCCCGACCACATTCAATAGATCCCTGTGAACCCAAGTGGAGACCTGGATGGCCAGCAATATGGCAAGACCCAGGGACTTCTGGGCCCAGAAGCAGTGGCATGACCACAGAGAACTAGAGCAGTGAAATGTCCAACTGTTATCAGTAAGGGGAGATGCACAAGAACAGCCATACTTTCAGATAGTACCCACTTGACTTGGCTTCAATGGCTGGATGATCAGAACTCGACTAGAAGAAGAAAGAAGAGAGGGGGATCTAAAAAAAAACAGTAACCTGCTACAATGTGATGAACTTTACCTACACCTATGTGGCACTGTGGGTTAATGCACCAGACTGCAAAGCCATTTGAACTGCAAGGTTGGTGGTTCAAGCTCACCAGCTGCTCCTTGGAAACCCTATACAGGGTCGTTATGGGTCGGATTCGACTCGATGGCACTTGACAACAACAACAAATGGAAGTAGCAGCTCAAAAAAGGGAACAAATATTTACAACAAGGACCACAACTACTCCCTCGGTACACAGGGTTGACAGGGATGGGCAACTTAGACATTGGCTACCCAAAATGGAGGGGGTCTACAAAGGCAAGAAGTGACTGGCTTACAAGCTTTCAAGAGGGAGCCTAGTTCCAGACGGGGTGGGGGAAGGTAGAATTGCCACTGAAAGATTTCCAATTGATTGGGACCCGACTGGTACAGTAGTGAATAACTGCCATAAGGACTGACTGTGAGGGTAGGAAATACGGAGGTAGATGTTTTTTGACAAAAGGGGGGTGGGGAGGTGGGAGATTGATTTTGCAGCCCAGGAACGGAGGTCACTGGGACCATCATGTGAGAAGAACGGAGAGCGGGACCCTACCCAGACAGGCAGTGACACGAGGGATAGAGACAGAGAAGATGACATGGACAGATGGAGCAGCTGGGAACTCTAGACCCAGAGAGGGAGAGGGGCAGTGAGCTGATGACTGGGGGACAGGCTTGTGGGGTGTGCCCTTTGGTTGTTTGATGATGCATGGATGGGATTGTAATTATTGCAATGAAATGAAATGCGATAGGATGAGTGTAGGGCTGATGTTCTCCCATGAAAACCTCATAATAAAAACTTATAAAAAAAATTTTAAACTCTTGGGCCATCCAGACTCCTTGTAATTAAACATACAGACTTTAAAATTCCTGGAAACTATCCAAGAATATGCTGGTGGGTACAACTAATAGCTCCAAAATCCACTACCGTCAGGTTTATTCCAATTCATAGCGGCCCTATCTAAGGTTTTCCAAGCTGCAAACCTTTCCGGGAGCAGACACCTCATCTTTTTCCTAAGGAGTGGCTAGTGAGTTTGAACCGCTGACTTTAAAGCTGGCAGCCCAGGCTTATTCCATAGCACCACCAGGGCTCCTTAATATAACTACATGAGCTCTTAAAAGCAAAGAGGCAAAAATCAAAGACACTCAAGGCTTAAGAAGAACTAGAGATGCTGCTCTTATCACACCAGAAAGGACCATCTTTCTGGAAGAAACTACTTACTGTCAGCGAGCAGCGAGCAGACCGATGATACAAAAGGCTAACTCCCTAACCCAACACACATCCTTATCTGAGTAGGTCACGAAGCAATGTGTCTGTCTCAGGACTTCACAGCAGAGTCACCTAAGCTAGAAGCCAACAAATAATCAGGATTTAGAGGACACAGGGAGAAGAGTGTCGAGAAATAGCAAGAGGTACACGGGAGCTAGAGTAATTTGGGGTCAGTGAAGCGGCGAGCGCAGGGCAGGGTTGACAGTTTGACATGCCCTCCCAACCAGCGGCTCCTGAAACCTCTGCAAAAGAAGCCGGGTCTCTTATGCAGGCAGACACACTCACCGAACCCCGTAAAGCCCATGGTGACCGCCAGCTGCGGATCGGGTCCCGACGCGTCTGCGCCTGTCACTGCAGCAGGAGAAGAAGAGTGGAAGACTTGTTAGTGTGGCGCCCTAGGCTACTCCGAACCGGCCCCCGACAGTCCCCAGGCTCACCTTCGCTTGGCCCAGGTCGCTCCATGGCCGGCCACCCACTCTTGCACGAACTAGAGCTGCAGCCCCGCAGCAGTGAAGACTCGCGGCAAACTCAGGAGGAAGCGCTGCCTCTGTTCGTCATCGCCGCTGCCACAGCCAAGAGCGGCCTCTCGGCAACCGCACGGAGGCTCCACGTCGCTGCGCCGCCCTAGCGGGTGGGCGGGAGAAAAGCACCTCTGAGTTGGCCTCCCAACTTAATTTAACCCACGCAACCCAACCACCACCACCATCAGCGCCACCATCTGCTTCCATCGAATCCACTCCGACTCACAGCGACATTAGAAAAGGTTTCCCCGGCTGTAATCTTTACGGTAGAAGAAAGCCTCAGCTTTCTCTACAGAGCGGCTGGTGAGTTTGAAGTGCGGACCTTGTGGTAAGCAATCCAGTGCTTATTCTACAGCAAGCAACACAAATGCTCCTTAACTTAATCCACGGAAGGGAACAATTATCGGAAGATTTTGTAACAAGCTTTACCTTTTAAGACAGTTTACTCAAGATGATACTTAATCCTCACAGAATTCTAGAGATAAGTAGTCTCCTTTTCTCTGAGTTTTATCCTTCTTTATATAGGACTCCTGGTGTGGCGCTGTAGGATTAGCACTGGACTGCGAATCCACCAGTTGCTCCTCTGAAACCTATAAAGGGTCGCTATGAGTCAGAACTGACTCAATGGCACTTAACAATATAAAGGATTTATGGTGTGGCATTGCACGATAATCCACTGGACTGCAAGGTCGACCTGAACCACAAGGTCAGCGGTTCAAACGCACTAGTTGCTCCTCTGAACCTAATACAGGGTTCCTGTGAGTCGCGCTATGGGTCGGAACCGACCCGATGGAACTTAACAACAACAACAATGAGTCGCTGAAGGAGCTCTGGTAGTCTAGTGGCTGCAAATCTCAAGGTCAGCAGTTCGAAACTACCAGCTGCTTTGAGGGAGAAAGATGAGGCTTTCTGCTCCCGTAAAGATTTACAGCCTCGAAAACCCTGTTCAGGGTTGCTATGGGTCGGAACAGACTCGACAGCACGTAACAACAACAACATGAGTCGCTGACTCGATGGCACTTAACAACAATATAAAGGAGTTCAGGTGTGGGGCTGTGGGATCAAGCCCTGGATAGAATGATCAGTTTGAACCCTAAGGTGGGCAATACAAACTCACCAGCCACTCCTAAGGAAACCTATACAAGGTTGCTATGAGTTGGAACTAACTCGACAGGACTTAACAATAAGTGACGCTGGGCGATAAAGCCCTGGACTGCAAGATCGGTTTTGTACAGCAAGGTTAGTTTGAACCACAGGAGGGCATTTCAAACTCACCAACCACTTCTAGGAAACCCTATACAGGGTCGCTATGAGATGGAACCCACTCGATGGCACTTAACAACAACAACAACATAAAGGATATTACACTGTACAACTCTGCTACAAAGACCTTTTTAAAGTGTTAAAAAGTAAAGACATCACTTTGAGGACTAAGGTGTGCATGTGAAAGCTAGACAGTGAATACCGAGAACTGAAAAAGAATGGAAACTTTTTGATGTTGGCAAAGAATATACCATGAACTGCCAGAAGGAACAAACAAATCTGTCTTAGAAGAAGTACAGTCAGAATCCTTTTTAGAAACGAGAATGGTGAGACTTTGTCTCATGTCCTTTGGAAATATTATCAGGAGAGACTAGTCCGTGGAGAAGGAGCTTGGTAAAGTGGAAGGTCAGCAAAAAACAGAAAGACCCTCAACGAGATGCCTTGACACAGAGGCTGCAACAATTGGTTCAGATACAGCAACAGTTGTGAGAATGGTGCACAACAGACCAGGATTTCTTTCTGTTGTACATATGGTCTGGGTTGGAACCAACTAGATGGTACCTAAGAACAACAGCTTGAAGAAACTACCACAGTTCTTCACTCTGTGAGTGTACTTTAAGGAAGCAACAAGGAGAATCTACTCAATGACTCAAAGCACCCAGAAAAAAATCCAAAAAAACCTTGATAACTTAAAGAGTTATCAAAAAAAACCAAAAAACCACAACCATCTAAAGTCCATCCACTTAGCCCAAATGACCTACATTAATTATGCTTGATTATTGTTCCCCAGCACACAGCAGGGATTCCCAAAGTCTTTTATTTGCATACATACTTAATATGATTATCTTTCATATTGGTTTTAATTTCCTTACAAAGTGATTCCTTAGCCATGCTATGAACTGTTATTTTTGCTAAGTGCCATCCAGTTGGTTCTACTCATAGTGACCCAGTACTGGGTTTCCAAGGAGCAGCTGGGAGTTTGAACTAGCCTTGTGGTTTAAGCCGACCTTGTGGTTCAGTTCTTTATCCCACAGTGCCACACCAGAACTCATGCTATAAATTAATGACATGTTAACTACCTCAAATCTCTGATGTATAGTCAATGCATTTATGGTCCTAATAAGTGCTACTCAATGAAAATATTTTCATAAAGTCACTCATTAGTCTACAATTAGATACAACCTTTAGTTTTGTATCTCAATTTATGTTGTATCTATGGCATTTGTACGTTAATGTGCTGGACTGCAAAGTTGAACCACGTGGTAGGCAGTTTGAACCACATGGTAGATGATTCAAGCTCACCAGCCACTCGTCAGAAATGGCACTTAATAACATATACCCTAAATGATAATGATCAAGTCTAATATTGTTTCCATTGCTTTTAGAGTAAAACTCAAAATTACTAACATGGCCACCAAAGTCTTTCCTGTCTTGTCACCACACCAGCCTTCTTTCCAATCTACAAGCAGACTCACGGACACCCAGAATGCTCCTTAGAAGCCAGGATGGTGAGACTTTATCTCTGATACTTCCAACATATTATCTGGAGGGTCTAGTTCCTGGAGAAGAACACCATGCTTGATAAAGTGGAGGCTCAGTGATAAAGAGGAAGATCCCCATAACGCGATGGATTGGCACAATGGCAGCAGCAATGGGCTCACACATAACAACAATTGTGAGGGTGGCACAGGACCTGGCAGTGTTTTGTCTGAAATGACTCGAAAGCGCCTAACAACAACAATTACCACCAACTGGACGAGATCTATACTTGTGCTAATTCCCAAAAAGGTAAACCAACAGAATGCAGAAATTACAGAACATTATCATTAATATCAAGGAGCCCTGGTAGCATAGTGATTTAAGACTTGTACTTCTAACTGCAAGGTCAGCAGTTCAAATCTAGAAAGCTGCTCCGAGAAAGAAAAAAAAAATTACAGCCTCGGAAACACAATACAGCGCTGATATGAGTCAGAACCAAGTCCATGGCACCCAACCACCACCATCACCACTAGCATCATTAATGTTGCTGTTGTTAAGTTCCATTGAGTTGGTTCCAACCCATATTATCAACTATAAATAATTTTTTTCTGAAAACAATTTAAAAACTGTTTCAGCAATACACCAACAGGAACTTCCAAAATTTCAAACTCTGTTCAGAAGAGGATGTGGAAACAAGAGAGATCACTTCTGACCTCAAATGGATTTGGGCTGAGTGCAGAGAATACCAGAAGGAGGCTTGATTGTTTTATTGACTATGCATAGGCATTTGACTGTGACTCATAAAGTGACAAGTGTTAATAAATATAACCCATGCAAGCAAAATCTCTTTGGAATCTCCATAATTTCTAAGGGTGGCAAGAAGTCATTAGAGGAAAAAGTTTTGAGAATCACTCTTCTAGAGAAGAGTGTGATAAAACTTTTTGTTTCAAGGGCCAGATAGTAATTATTTTGTATATTGTAGCCATATGGTCCATATAGCTCCTAAATTCAGTTGTTGCCTTGTAAAAGTACTAACTGGTGGTAATGTAAATGAATGAGAATAGTGGAATTCAGTTCCTTAGGAACAGTGTTCCTATGCAGGAATAGTATGCCAATATTGTAAGGACCCCTGGTGGTGCAATGGTTAAGCACTCAGCAACTCAAACTGATGGGGAGTGTGTGTGTGAATGGGGTGTATAGAAAGACGTGGCAATCTACTCCATAATGATTGTCATTATTGCTGCTAAGCGCCGTCCACTCAGTTCCAACTCATATAAACCCTGTATAGGGTTTCCACGGCTGCAAATTTTTGCAGGCGCAGAAAGCACCATCTTTCTTCTGCAGAGCAGCTGGTGGACTTGACTATTGAACGTGTGGTTTGCAGTCCAGTGCTTAACATACAGAACCACTGTACTACCCTATAAAGATTGTTGTTGTTTGCTTTTGTTAAGTTTCGTCCTGTCAGTTCCAACTCATAAAATGTGAAAAAAAAAAAAAAA